CCCCAAAACCCCAAAACCCCAAAACCCCTCTAATTTTAATTATCATAGAAATTTGGTAAGTTATAATTAAATCTATTTATCAATCAATATATTGAATCAGAATTCTCCTCCACTTGAATCTCCTATTTTGCTCTCCTCCTCTGACATTCCTGCACTCATTTAGACTTGCTAAGCGATTGATTCTGAAATATCTAAAAATATCATTCTAAGATGCTCTTTGAGACTAACTTCATTGCTTAGAACTAAATCAGCAAAAATAGGCATTAGTTAAACCAAATGACCTTTCTTGCTCTTGTATTATTGAGGCTAGACTTCTGGGTAGCAGTCCAAAAGTCTTAATTTTTCAAGTATAAATACGACCTCGGATACTCTTTATCTAAGCATTGTCGTAGTTCCACTCTTTTATTCATCACTCACATACTTTTTCAGGGTATCTCTGCATCTATTTATCAATACTGGTGTAGTAATTGTTGCTATTTTTCTCCTGATATCATAGATTCTTTTCTAAGCATTTTGATCAGGAATATCATCATCTTATTATGCTTGTTGGACTTTAAACAACTAGAATCTACACAGTTCAAAGAGATTATTCAAACAGAACTTTGACAGAGAATTTCCAAAAGCCCCGCCAGTTGAAGTATTTGTGCCTTATGATAATCGTTAACTAGAATAAACTGAATTGCAGCCATTATCAATTATATTAACTAGGCTTTGCTGAAACTCCTTATCATTCACATCGCTACAATTTGGAAGTAAACTATTGGTTATAAAGTTCATTACTTGCATATCAAGATCCTAACTACTTTTTACTACATCCTCAACCACTGCTTTATTGTGATTAGAAACTTTCTCTGGATTAAATAACAGATAGCTTCTTGCCAAAGGTATTACTCTCTCCCAAACTAATTATTTGAGTTCAGCATCTAGATTAAGGATGTTTATCATCGCTGGATCAACTATAGAGAATTCAAGCTACTCTGCAAACATAATATCATTAGAAGCAATGAAATCATCGCTGTTTAAATTCTGCTGCTGTGTATTATAGTTTTAAGTGAGTTTAGACTTTAATCCAGTGAATCCACCTCCTGTAGAGCCTGTATTATTGGCAGGATTACTTGAACCGAAAGCTGGGCCTCTTTGTTACTCCTAAGTTTGCTTGTAATGAGCACTCATTCTCAGTTTGAAGTGCTTTTAATTAATTAGGAATGAACTGAAATGCATAGCATACAATCCAACTGTATAAAATAAAGTTTATGAACCCTTAGATGGGAATACTAAAGCCATGCATGCCTCATTATTATATCGAAGATTAATAAGGTATTCAATTCTATCATATAGAATTGGAAGAATTTGCCTCAAAATGTCATTAGTTACTTTGCCTCTCAAGATGATAGAATTAAGAATACTAAAAGTTCTTCTTATAAAGGCTTCAGAGTGAGGTTCTTGATAATCATATTCAGTAAACTGAAGCAGAAACTTTAAGTAATGTAAGTGAGTTTGATCATTTCTGCGGACTATATCATTTAAATTCTCGATAAACTCAAAGGTAATTTTCTCTTCATTAAGTAACTTATGAGGGACTCCCATTCCTTAAAATCCTTCACTTGAGTTCTTTGAACTTTTCATCATTCTAAACATCAGCTAGAATACAAGTTAAGCATATTTAGGAATGATTATCTAAAGGTAAGGTGCTCTTATTTGGTTCTCTTGCAAGTTCTCTTGTGAGTAGATCTTATTCAAAGTTTGAATAATGATTGGACAAAGTTTCAATGTCAATGGCTTTCTTATTATGGTATTGTGATCCTATTTTTCATTCATTAGCCATTCTGAAGTTGCTTCAAATATTTTGAAGCTGTCCTTAATGTTATTCATGAAGAGATCAACACAGTTAGGTTGAGTCAGTAGATCTTCCAGAGCTTTATATATAGTTGAGCAAATCTCCTAAGATCCATTCTTGATCATTTCATTAATGATGTTGATTGAATTTATCCAAGCAAAATCTGTCAATTCAGAACTATAATTTTATAATACAAAAATTTTACTTCTTATGCTCTAGCTATTAATACTTCTTAATACTTCTCAGAACTGTTTGAACAAGTAAGATACAAGTTTCTTCCCATTATTCATCGTTATTCTTTTGGAGGGCTTTTACTGCTTCTTCATCAAACTTCATTCTTCTAGCTTAGGCGCCTCCTGCTCCTCCTCTTTTCTTAGTCTCCCAACCTCCAGAGGAAAAACTTGGCGTTGGTAGACCAGCTTCAAACAATTAGGTTTTGCCCTTATTTGAAACTCCTCCTCTTTACTCAACATACATTCCAATACTATTTCTAAGCATATTTAGAAGGTTATTTCTCAAGATAGTATTCCAAACTTCATCTGACAAAAGTTATCCATGAGTCATTATAATGTTTTCGAGTGTAAAGATATTGGCTCTTCTAATTTCAGCTCTGTGATTTCCACCAAGATCTTGGGCTTTTTCAAATAAGATACTCCATATTCTTTAAGCATTAAATGTTTGTTTATTGTCCTTCTGACTTTAATTCATTTCTTTAACGATCATTTTACCTGTGTAGTCTGCGATGTTTTATAGCATACCAACTGAAATCAAATTATTGTTAATGTTATCTCCGTCATTTGAAGCATATTTATGGATACCATGCAGGATACTTATGAAATTCTCTTGACTCAACTTGTCAATATAGTTACTCACTATAAGTTGAAGACATTTGAAGCCTGTAGATAAAATTTCTTCATTCTCATAGTATTCAGAGCTTTGAGAAATAGTCAGTATGATTCTTCTCCAGCCTTCGTCTTTCAGCTGTTAACCACATGTCTATATTATTTTCTTAATTCCATTAAGTGTCAAAATGTTGTTAGATTGGTGAGATGATTTCAGTTAATCGGAAAATGGAGTTAGAACAGTATATTACCAATAAGTTCCAGACCAGTTTTCGTCAACATCGCAATCAAGATCTTGATCAACATCATCACCTGATGATCCTATTGATTTCTTTACTTTAGATGCACTCTTTCTTGATGGAGATTAGATGTTAGTGAATGGATTATTGCCTTTTGCATCTTATTACTTCTTATCCTTTCTGTGAGCAAATATTTCCAAAATTATACAGAGCATAGCTTCAATTGATAGTTACCTTAGAGTTTAAACTTTGCACTCTGAGAGAATTTGAAAGTGAGCAATTAAAATTTTCCAAATCTATTCTATTCTTGAGATGTTAACCAATGCAGTTTCTACTAATCTTGTGATTGCGAAATTGTTGATATTTGCTAGGATATCTCCCTCATTAGGTTGTGGTTTTTGAGATACTCCTCTAACTGCTTTATCTTAGCCGGAACCACTAATTATATTATTACCAGTAGACTTTTTATTAGTATTAAAATTTTCTAAGACTCCAATAGTTAGCTGCCCAAGAGAAGTAATCAGTTCTGCTAATGACTGATTATCAAACATGTAAGATGATGTAAAGAGTGAGTCAAAGGAGTCTTGAAGTATTTGCAAATCAGTATTCATTTATTCGAAAGACTGATGATGCTAAACCATTGTACTTTCATATTAAGACGGATTATACTTAGTGTCCTAAAAATATTTTAAGATACTATCAAGTAATTACCTTCTAACTTGGGAGTTAAGAATCAGAACTCATAGTTAAATTGTTAGAGGCTTTATTAGCAGTGCTACTAATTCTTTGGTGATGAGTCTAACTTTACTTCTGAGCACTATCTTGGATACTACCTCTCTTTGCAGTAACGGATAATCTATTCTAAGCATTTACCTATTAAATTCCTTCTTTCCTTTCCTCGTGATCGCCTTTTCTTTCCTCCTATATATTTGAGGTTTTCTATTGTTTTTGTTGAATACTATATCTTTCAACTATATTGTACTCCTTCATTTTTTCTTGGACCTTTATCTTAATCTCATTAAAATCAACGACGGTTTAATTCCCGCTAGAATTAACCATAGGCTAACTAGGAGTATTTCCCATAACTGCAACTGCTTTGCCCTTAGACTTGATGCGATTTTTTATCACAGTTTCTATTTTCTACATAGTCTCTAATATTATATACCATGATTTAACATCAAGAATGTATCCTAAGCAGTGAGCAATATTTAGCAGAGTTTTGCAAATCTATACATTTTTGTCAGTCAGTACATGCTCTTTTTAGAACTAATCTTGCTTAACTTATTATCCCTACTTGTTGGATAATATCTGAGTGACATTCTCAGTGAGGCAGAAACTGCAAAGTGATTCTAAAAATCCATCTCTTGGCTCGTAGCATTGAACTGAACCACAAACTCCAATGAAATTCTGATAGCAATTCAATAGAAGCTGAATGTTTGACTCTTCATTAGTAAGTCTTAGCAAATTTTAAAGCACTTAGAGCAAAGGCTTCCATGAAAGTAAGAGTAAATCCTTGCAATCAATATCATTCATAGTTTACTTTTAGGTGCTAGTTGGCATTTTATGGGCCAAGCCAGCGGATTGCTAATTTTAATTTAATCCTTTTGATCCCCCAATTTTCAAGCCAAATTAATCAAAGATTAATATCATGTTGTCGACGAAGGAGCAAGTAGCCTCGATGATTAATTTATGGATCTAGGAAGGTGTCGGAGGAGCCAACTCATTCTCATGTATTTATGCTTCAATGAATTTAGGGGTCTTTTAATGAGAATAATGAGCACTCAACATATGCCTTTGATTATTGTCTCCGCTAAGATCTAAGTTATCAGAAGCTTGAATTAAAGTTTCAAATACTTATACCAAGACAGTCTTACCTACCTAGAGGGCAGACTATGCAAAAACTCTGATCAGCATTGGGTTGTTTAATGCGATGGCAACACATTCAAATCCAATTAAGCTCTTCCAGTTGAGATTCATATTAGCTTAAGTATCACTGCTTTACTTTCCTTTATTGCTTGCGAGGAAATTGTCAGTTTCAGCCAGAATATGGGTAAAAAGGTTTACACCAATTCCTAAATGATTGATAATTAGGATTGAACACTTCATAAGTCTCATGCCAATTATATATTCTTAAGGTTGCTTGCTCTTATACATATTTTCCAACACAGGAATCAACTCATTATCAAATATCCTCAAAACAACTGGGAAGAACTGCATTATATCTTAAGTCTGGTTCAGGATCAAACAAATTATGTCCATTATCATGCACTTCGAATTAATTGAAGGAGCAAGATTCCAAATATTTTATGTTTAATTGTTATTTTTCTTGTCTCCCTAGTCCTGCTAAGATAGACATCTGCTCAGATTTGAAATTAAGTCCAAAGTTATCTTAAAGATTATTTCTCCTTCTATCTACTATATTCTGTTTATTGCTTTACTTCTTTCTTCAACTGAAAGATAAAACCTTCTCTTTTGGTCAAAGAAATCCTCATTCTAAGCCAATTCTTTACATTTGATCACAAGTTTGTCAAAAACTAAGGTAAACAGCTATCTAAGAGTAGCTTGAATTGTGGATTTTACAGAATTACTCTTAGAGTAGAACATTTAGAAACTGCATTAAAGTACCTAGCAATTTGATTGAGATTAATTAAAAGATAATTACCAAATCCACTAATTCTTTTGATAATCTCAATGTATTTGGATTTAAGAATATTAGAAGTATTTGAAGAATTTTGATCTAAGTCATTTCATCTGAATTCTCGCCACTAGCTTCCCTAAGCATTGTCAAAATGGAAATAATTCCTGTCTAAATTACTATTAAAAATCTATATAACCCACGTCAGATATTCTCAGAGATGAAGCAAGTTTTTAAAGGCAATTCAGTGCGGGTAGGAATATCTTCGGATTCTTTGATTCAAAAACCTAGGCAAGAGATTATAAAACCTGCTCAATTTGAGTTTAAACTATATTGTTATCTATTTTAAGTATTTTCTTACCTGCTTGCTAATCTTGTCCTTTGCATGATTGAATTATCTTGATAGCTTTGTCCACTTACTACAATAATTTATGAATATTTAAAGAACAAATAAACAAATGTTGTTGCATTTGAACATTGTACTTACATCTTTGAGAGCTGCATTTCTCTTTTTAAGTTCATTAGACAGGAGCTTAAAGTCACTTTCAATTAAATCTACTGAGTTCATTTTCCTACTACTCTATTAATTCAATTCAAATTTCAATAATATATTAATACTAATTTAAAAATATCACCTTAATTATTGACTCATTTTTGTGATTATCTTAATTCAATGGGGTTTTGGGGTTTTGGGGTTTTGGGGTTTTGGGG